TGATTCCTAGCACATTGTGATCATATTGATTCTTGCCACGTTTGAGAAACTTCTATCCAGTCAAAACGCTCGTAGATTAGGTTTGATTCGAAAATTCTAGGTTTAGGTTTCCGCCAAAACCATCTCGGACCCACCGAGTTGAAAAACTCGGTCCTACCGATTTGGCTTATGCCATTGCACAAGTGAGACTCGGTCTGACCGAGAATTACTTATCGGTGTGACCGATTTTTGAAATCAGTGAAACCCTAGCAGTCTCGGTGCCACCGAACTGTGACTCGGTCCTACCGAGTTCACTAGTTTAGGTTCCAAAACTGCTTCGGTATCACCGAGTTTGAAAATCGGTAGATCCGAGATGATTTCAGTAGGAAACTAAAACTAAGTTTTTGGATCATTCTTTTTGCAAAAATCTCTGCATTTTGTGATGCTCATCCTTTCTACCTCATCTATAATCTATTCACAGGATCAGCAGTCAGTTTGCAGCATGTCTGATCAAAGTGATAGCCAAAATATGTCAGAGCAGCAAGTGGTGATGAGTGAGGTCACTAGTCCCTCCAGTTCATCTGATGAAGGCAGCAGGAGCACTCCTAGCAACTTGCCAAAGGCTGCCACGAGACAAAGGAAGAAGAAAACTTCAGACTCCGAAGATGAGGACTATGTGGCAGAGGAAGAGGCCACTTCCAAGAGAATTGAGCCAGCTCAAGGCACTAAGCCAGGTCTAAAAATCAAAAGGCCAACAGGCAGGCAGCCCATATCAAATGCTAGAGCCTCAACTGAGAAGCCCACTCCCCAAGAGCCAGTTGCAGCTGAGGGCAAGAAAAGAAAGGAAAGGGTAAAGAAGACTGTTGCTAGAGTGCTTGGAAAAGCTTCCATCATGAAAGAAGAAGAGGAAGAAGAGGTAGCTGCACCAGCGCCCAAGGCACCCAAGCGAATGGGTGATGCCATAAGATCAGGGGCTATTGCATCTAAGCCCAAAGCTGCCTCCAAGCCAAAACCAAAGAGGAATACAAGGAGCATTCCTGCAGCTGAAAAGAACAAGGCCCCAGTGCCTGAGACTGTTGCTGAAGAAGAAGAAGAAAATGTCCTGAGAAAGCTAAAGCCCAAGATCCCAGACCACAACGATGCTCATCCTGTGGCTGAGGACATGAAGCTCAGGAGAGATTCAGGGCTGAGAAAGTGGAGAGAAGCAGACCCGTATGCTTCAAGGAGAAGGACTGCCGTGGACTACAGGTTTCACACCAAGGAGCAGCAGGATTTCTATGAGACTGTGCTGTTAGATAAGAAGCCCATTGTCTGTGATATGCGTTGGGTTGATTGGACATACATCAAGGACAATGAGGAGCACTATCCTGGAGTGCAAGACAGCTTCATAGCTTGTGGAGTAGCCGACTTTGTTGGGCAGAAGCTCACAAAGTGGAACGAGGAGCTTATCATGCAGTTCTACTCCATGGCTCACTTTTATCCAGATGGGAGGATCACATGGATGTCTGAGGGTACAAGGTACCAATCTACAGTGACTGAGTGGGCACAGATCATTAATGCCCCAGAGGAGCAAGATGAAGACTTGGATATCTATGCCAAGAAAAAGATGGACCACAACTCCATGTCCAATATGTACAAGGAAATTTCCAATGAAGCTCTTGGCACCTTCAAGTTTGGCTCTGTGCATTACCTTCTGTCAGGACTCCCGACGATTAGTTGGATACTAAGGCACACCTTACTGCCCAAGTCTGGAGATCACAAGATGATCAGAGGCCATGCTATCAACTTGCTACATGTGTTTGATGTGCCTCAGAAGTTTAAGGTGATGAGCTCATAGTGGAAACTATCAAGAGGACTGCAGCAGACCAGGAGAGAAGCTGCGGATATGCCCCTCAGATTCAGGAGCTCATCAACTCCAAGATGGGCACGGGCATATATTTATTGGACAAGGAACATTTGCCTATCCGTCCAGATTTCGAGGACAATCAAGTTGTCATGACTGAGAACGAGCCATCATCTGCCCAAGCATTTACAAAGAAGGAGAAGGCAAGGAAGGAGAAAGCTGCCAAGATGCCTACCCAAGAGGAGGCATCTGAATACTTCTTGAAGACTAAACAAGAGCAGCTTGGTTACTTGATTGCATCCACGCTGAGGATTGAGCAAAGTCTGGCCACTCTCACTCAGAATCAGCAGAGCCTAGAGAGAATCATGGAACAGAAGTTCTATGACTTGGATGTTAAGGTAACAGAAGTTCAGTCTGCAGTGGAGCAGCTCCAGGAGGACATGCAGGAGAGGAGAGGCAGGACTACCACTCATACCTTTGCCAGAGTGCCACGAGGCCCGAGGTCATCTGCCGTGCCAGTTGCTGACACAAGAGCCACCACTTCAGCACCAGCTACAGCCTCAATTCCTCCAGCTCCAACTCCAGCGTCTACTTCAGCATCTACCGAAGCCTTCGTCCTTGGAGTGATCCGGACTCCACCACCACCTGAAGATCAAGCCTGAGCGTCGATCTAGTGCTATGCATTTTCTAGGAACTTTTTGGTAACTTGTTGCCAAAGGGGGAGAAGATGTATAGATCATAGTCTTCGAGAGAGAGAGTGTGTTGCTTTTCTCTCTTGCTTTATTTGGTGGTTTTTCGAACTTGTTTGCTTTTGAGTGCTTGAGATACTATGCTTGTGAGACATTGATGCTCATGTGTTTGATCATAAGCTACACTTAATGCTTGCTTAATGTTATTATCTTATCTATCTTGTGATCATTCATTATTCTTGGTGATGAGTGCATGTATTTCATTCTTATCATTTTAAGCGCTCCACCAAGATGTATGTGACATGGAAGAGTAACCCATGACTCTAACTCTTTGTCCATTTGCAGTCCAAAGCAAATTTTAAATATGCACAAATTTAGGGGGAGCTCTTACTTATCACATACTTCTCAAAGCGACGATATATTTCATGCTTATTATCATTTGTCGAAGCTTTAATCTATATGTTGTCATCAATTATCAAAAAGGGGGAGATTGAAAATGCAACTATCCCTAGGTGGTTTTGGTAATTCATAACAACATATAGCTCATTGAGCTAATGCTATTCCAAGATGATTATTTCAGGAAAGCTCAATGATTGACATGGTATGGATGTGAAAGTGGAACTCTCAAAATGCTAAGGACAAAGGATTGGCTCAAGCTCAAAAGCTCAAGACTCTTCATTTTATATTTTAGTGATCCAAAATCACATTGAGTCCATAGGAAAAGCCAATACTATCAAGGAGGGATGAGGTGTTGCTTAATGAGCCTCTTGCTTCATGTGCTTAGTGATATGCTCCAAAACCCTCAACTACTTTCCCATATCCACATATGACCTAAACTCTAAGCCAAACTCGGTCCTACTGATTTTTCCTATCCGGCACCACCGAGTTTCACTTGTCATTAGCCACTGCCAAACCCTTTGGTTCTACTGATAAGGATCTCGGTCTCATCGAGATGGGGTTGCAAACTCTCTGTTTCCCTTTCGTAACTTTTCGGTCCCACCGAAAAAGCGAATCGGTCCCACCGAGATTGCAATGTAAACTCAGTGTTTTCCCTTTATAACTTTTCGGTCTCACCGAGTTCCACTCGGTCTCACCGAGTTCCACTCGGTCTCACCGAAAGAGCAAATCGGTCCCACCGAATTTGCCTGACCAACTCTCTGGTTAGCTAATTACCAAATTCGGTCTCACTGAGTTTGTGTAATCGGTCTCACCGAGATTAGGTTATGCCCAAACCCTAACCATATCGGTCCTACCGAGTTGCATGTCAGTCCCACCAAAAATCACTAACGGTCACTAGGTTTACATTTTCGGTCCGACCGAGCTTATTGATTCGGTCCCACCGAGATTGAAAAACTGTGTAACGGTTGGATTTTGTGTGGAGGCTATATATACCCCTCCACCTCCTTCTCATTCGATGAGAGAGCCATCAGAACACACACACCATTCCAACTCATATGTTCTGAGAAAGAACCACCTACTCATGTGTTGAGACCAAGACATTTCATTCCTACCATATGAATCTTGATCTCTAGCCTTCCCAAGTTGCTTTCCACTCAAACCCTATTTCCACCAAATCCAAATCCTAAAAGAGAGAGTTGAGTGTTGGGGAGACTATCATTTGAAGCACAAGAGCAAGGAGTTCATTACCTACACACTATTTGTTACTTCTTGGAGAGTGGTGTCTCCTAGATTGGCTAGGTGTCACTTAAGAGCCTCCGACAAGATTGTGGAGTTGAACCAAGGAGTTTGTAAGGGCAAGGAGATCGCCTACTTCGTGAAGATCTACCGCTAGTGAGGCAAGTCCTGTGTGGGCGATGGTCATGGTGGGATAGACAAGGTTGCTTCTTCGTGGACCCTTTGTGGGTGGTTGCTTTTTCATGGACCCTTCATGGGTGGAGCCCTGTGTGGACTCGCGCAACCGTTGCCCTTGGGTGGAGCCCTGTGTGGACTCGCGCAACCGTTACCCTTCGTGGGTTGAAGTCTCCATCAATGTGGATGTAGGATAGCACCACCTATCCGAACCACGGGAAAAACATCCGTGTCTCCAATAGCGTTTGAATTCTCCAAACCCTTCCCCTTACATTCTGGCAAGTTGCATGCTTTACTTTCCACTGCCTATATACTCTTTGCATGCTTGCTTGAATTATGTGACGATTGCTTGATTTGTCCTAAATTAGCTAAAATTTGCCAAGAACTAAAATTGGAAAAAAGGTTAAGTTTTTATTTGGTCAAATAGTCTAATCACCCCCCTCTAGACATACTTCCGATCCTACAAACACATCTAGATGTGGTCGATCCTACAAACATATCTAGATGTGGTTTATGAAAGCTGTTATTTTGTTTATACATTGCAATAACCAGATGCTTTATTCCATATATATAGACTTGTAACATGGAAGGTGCACACAGTTCACTACATGATGGGATTCTTTATGCCATGTACGATGGATTATGGTACCATGGAAGCTACGTACACACAGTCCATCACATCACATGATGGTGCATGCATCTGGGCTCTGATCGCCGAAAGTCTGTGGCGGATACTGCTGCGGACACGGCCCGTAATACGTTGCAGGATTGGCCGCATATGGGTATTGGTGGTACTGCTGATAAGCATAGTGCGGGTACGCATAAGGGTAGGCTGCTGGGTGGTAGTTGTACTGGTAGAGGCCGTTCATGGCCGTCATCTTCTCCGCCTCCGGCGCCACCGCAACAAGTGAAGCCGGCACAGGCAGCTTGAATAGGTGTTCCTTCCCTTGGGTCTCCTCTACAACCGTCTCCTTCTCAACCCCGTCTCCGTCCCCTTTGCCTGGCTTCTCCGTTTCAGCCCCTTCTTCTCCTGTCTTCACCTCTTGTTTGGTCTCTTCTTCTGCTCCTCCATTTTTGTTTTCCAGATTATCAGATGGTTCTTGCTTCTCGGGATTGGCATCCGCTGCAGGCGCATCCTCAGCCATGGCTGCTGCTGGCGTATCCTCATGCAGTGGCTCAGCTCTTAGGATGGCAGCCTTCCTCCCCGTGCACTTGTGGATGAATCCTACTAGGGTCGCTGGCTCGACCGTCCCTTTCACCATCATCTGTGAAGATTTGATGTGCGGCACGGCCTCCTCCACTCCTGATCAACAGTTTGCAACCATACTGTATAAATTAGTACCGCAACAACCAAAGCAAGGAAGACGTAGACGAGTAGTTTAGCTAGCAATGTAGTATTAACATACGGAGTACATCAACATACCTTTTATCTTGAGTATCCTCCTCTTCATCTCCTCACTGCAATCTTCACAGTGCAATTCGATCTTAAGCACTACAACCATTTCCTGGTCTCAATAATGATCAATACCACAAAAAGGTGGTTAAAACACCGGAATATAAAGGTGAAAAAGCAAAATGGTAGTGAACTAAGCAGGATATTAACAGCAACTAGCAGCAAGTAATTGACTCAGTAAATACCATGTCGAACTCCGCTGCATCCTTTTTCATGTCTGGCGCCCCTGCACCGTCGTGTTTCTTGGTATCCTCACTTTTCACCGGCGGTGGAAGCTTCTCCGGCGATGGGCTCAGCAGCAGCGCCTTCTTCCCGGTCCTCCTCTTGACCGCCTCGACCACCATGATCGGGTTCTGCAGCGCCTTCTGGCCACTTACCACCACCGTGTTGGTCGAGTGATCCACGATCACCTCCTCAACCCCTTAATTTATCCCACCAAGAACTTAGTTTTGAAACACCTATACATACAAATTAGCTAATTCCAAAAACGAATTCCGGATGTGCATCCATTTTCATGTTACGTACCATCGAGGCGCAGCAGAGACCGCCGCACCTTCCTGGCGCAGCCATCGCAGTGGACCGGCACGCTTACCACCACCCCGTTCGTCGGCGCATCGCTGCCTCCCTTCGCCGGCGCCTTGTCCCCTTCCTTCCCAGTGCTCCGGGCATCACCGGCCGCCAACGCCGCCTTCTTCGCCCTCGTCTGCCACATCGGAACGAGAAAAAAACCCTGAGAATCACGTACGATAAGCTGAAGATAAATCACCTGGACGGGAGAGAAGGTTTGGGCCAGCGAGTGTTTCTTCTCCTTTACCTTGGCCATAGTGTGTGCTAGGTTCCTCGATCGTAATTGATCGATCTGATGAGAATGGAGCGCTCCAGTGTGCACACACATATATGTGAGTCATGGGATGCATCGTGGAGGGAGAGGGGGGTGCCACGTCTGGGCGGTGCAGCCATGGGATGCGCCGCGTGGCCGTTTGCATGCAGTGCGAAAACGTACGTGCTTCGCTGGATGCACACTCAGAAGCAGACGCTATCTCTCCATTAAAGGGACTTTGTCTAGAGGACGCTATATTCGGTGCCGCCCGGGCGTACGTTTCCGCAATTTTGGCTGGAAATAGGGATCGAAAAAAATACCGAAACTGCCGTAGTTTTTTAGCACAGTATAATACAGACTGCAATATATATACACATATATATATGATCGCGCTATTCGTCACCCTGGGTGAGGAATAATTATTCTTTATCCTCTTATTTTACAATCAATGCATCGTAATTTTACGTTTCGTAAGTTTTTTTCTTATTTCCGACGCAAAAAGGGACAGTAAGAAAATATATAATCACCGTAAAAAAAATTATGTTATGTAAAATTACAAACATAAAAACATAGTCTAAAATACACATAAACTATAAATTTTCTTATCTTATAACCTATATTTTTATTTTTTTTATGTTAAATTTTACATAGTGAATCAATAAAATGTAACTATTTGAATCCAAATGTAATTTAATTATGAAGTAATCGTAAGATTACCTCGGGTGAGAAATAACTTATTGTACACCCTGAGTGATGAATAACATCACTATATATATAAATATAAATATATATAAATATATACATATATATATATATATACATACATATATATATATATATATATATATATATATATATATATATATATATATATAACACGTACACACACTCTATTTCTATGAAGTCGTAGTCGATGGAATGTCTCCTCTTACTAAATGCGCATCGTCAAAAAACCTGACATAAATTCAGGATAAATGCGAGTATCAAAATTTGAACCATAATAAATTGAAGATACCAGTGTCCATTTAACCATCCAACTATAGATGGATTCGCTATAGGCGTATTCTTTTTGTTGTTATTTATAGCAGGCTAATGCCTCGGGCTGCAATGGCATATAAGTATGATGTGACCGAGACACATTTTTTTGTCCAACTAAGACATATCTAAAATGTGACATAACTTTTTTTTCAGAGGTGACATAACTATATTACATCTAAGTTGAAGATTTTTTTTTTTCCGGTTGTCCAGGGCTTGCAGCGAGGCGGAAGCTTGCCAATGTCTTGGGCCTCCGTTCAGTTTAGTTTATGTAGCTTCGTTCAGTTTAGTTTATGTAGCTTCATTCCTTTCCTGTAGGCTATCCTCCGTTCATTTCTTTTTCTTTTTTCAGTTCGATGGCTCATCCTTTTTCTTCACAAGAATGTTGTTTTCTTGTATAAACCGTGTTTTTTTTAGAAAAGAAGGATGACCCCCAGCCTCTGCATCTAGGAGATGCATACGGCCACTTTATTGATTATTCTCGAGGACCTTACAAAGTGTTACAATAGTAAGCCTGAATCCACCATCTAGGAAACATATGGCGCTACTCCTATCCATATGATGAAGGAGTGCTAGCTGGGCCACTACCCAGACCACTCACCTAATCCTAACATCGAAAGCCGGAATCCCCAGCCTAGCCACATACCGGGTCTGGGGCATAAACCGGTCTGACGCACTCACAGGTGTCGTCTCCACCATCTTCCACTGGTCTATCTCCGAACAGATTGAGGTGCCAACCTTGGCAGGCTCCTCCGCCATCAACGCCACCATGACACCAAATGACGACCACCACCTACGCTAGAACATCTCCAAGCAATCAAGAAAACAAGGAAAGCCCAAAAGATACAAGGGGGCACTCTGAACTTACAACACATCGGAGAGCTAGTTACAAGAGGTAGGGCACTACTAGCATAAACCGATGACCGCAACCCTTAGGCGCCAAAGACACAGGAGGAATGCCGCTGGGACAAACACCAAGCCGGCCACACCATCACGCGCCAAGAACGTCTAAAGGCTGCAGGAAAGCCGCCGAGCAACAACAGAGAGGCGGACAACGGGACATCGAGAGGCACTGCACCTGCTGCCGGCCAAAAACCCCACCTTCAGCAGCCCTACGCCCGAAACCACACTCCCCAGACAACGCCTCCATGGAGGGAACGACACACACGGCGCCGCCGCTGCCCAATCCTGTCAGATTTTGGGTTTTCACCCGGGAGAGGGAACGGAGGTGGGGAGAAGGAGACCACGACATCGCCTCCAAGAAAGAAACGTCGCCCAAGGCCGACGTTGATGCCGGGCTGAACCAGCCGGCCAGGGGTTTCCCTCGGTCCCGATCTGCAACACCAGCCCCAAACTCCATCGGATCCAGCGACCAGCCGCGGGAAACCAAGCGCAGAGGGGGAGGGAGCGAATTGGGGGCGGCAAACCTCCAAATCTGGCGAGGAAGAGGAGGCCTCCACGCTGTAGCCACCGGCCGCCGACGCCCCACCGCCCCGCAATCGAGGACGCCGGCCAGAGCCCTCCGCGAGCGCCGTTCAGGGCAAGAACGACGACACCATGCCGGCAGGGGCCGCCGCCCCTGGGATCCAGATCCTTCGCTGCAGGAGCGACGAGGGCCTCGCCGCCACCGTCACTGGCGGCCGCGCGGGTTTGCCCGGCGACCACCTCAGGTGGCGACGAGGAGGGAGAGGAGGGGTGGGGGAGGCGACGCTCGGGAACCCTAGCCGCCGCCCGAGTCGCTCGGTCAGGCAACGCGGGGGCCGAGAGTACATCTTGTATAAACCGTGTATCTATGTATAGTTTAGAGATACATGAAAACATTAAAAAAATATGTTCATGTAACTTTTAGAAAAGTGTCCGCATGTTTTAGAAAAGTTCACACGGATTTGAAAAATGTTAAGACAGTGTAAATTGCTTGCTAGTGTATTTTAATCAAATGTTGATAACATCCCAAAACAATTTGTGACATTTAAAACATGCTCACACGTTTCAAAAAATATATGTGAAATTTTATAAAAAAATATTATACAAACTAAAAAATGTTTGCATAATTCAAAAGGAATGTTTCCAACCATTCACAAAATTGTACGTGACATTTACAAAAAATATGTTTGTGAAATTTTAAAAAATGTTTATATAAATGTAAAAATATTCATGTAGTATAAAAATGTTTAGTATTATTCAAGAAAATTTTATATTTTTCTCAAAAATGTTTAACACATAATGGAAAAAAAATGTTCAAAACATATATTGAAAAAATGTTAATTGTTTTTTATAAAATCAACGTGTATAAAAAAATCCAGATATATGTAGAAAGTGCACAACGTGTATTTGGAAAGAGTATTATGAAAACATGCATTTTTTTACAATCATGTATTTAAATTTTTTTAAAGACATGCTTTGTTGCACTTATGTTGAAGACATGCAGTTGTGGTGCGGGGGCGACACATGCAGTTGCATGGTGAGGGAAACACTTGTAGTTGCATGTTAGATGATGGTCATGCTGCCATAAAAAATTCAAGAGTTTTAAAGGCAAAAATAAAAAAGGTAAAAAAATAGAAAGAAAAAAGCAAAAAACAAAGAGGATGGACTTGCAATTGGGACAACAATTTGCCAGGCCCATTACTTGTGTATCAAGGGTGCACTTGCAACTGGAACAAAAAGGGATCGCCCCTACCCCGAGTTGCATGTCAAGGGTGGACTTGCAACTATGACAAAATGGGTCGGGACCAATTGCGTGTCGAGGATTGACTTGCAACTGGGAAAAAATGGATCGGGCCTCCAGTTGCGTGTTGATGGTGAACTTGCAACTGGGACAAAAATGTGTTCGGGCCAATTGCGTGTCGAGAATTGACTTGCAACCGGGACAAAAATGGATTGCCCCCCAATTGCGTATTGATACGTCCATTTTGCATAATTTTGTTCTAATGTTATTTATAATGTTTTGATGCATAATAATGCTTTATGGAGTAATTTCAATGCCCTTTATCTCATAATATGCAAGGTTCACACAAAGAGGGAGAATACCGGCAGTTGGAATTTTGGACCTGAAAAAGCTACGTCAGGGCACCTATTCTGCACATCTTCAAATGAGCTGAAAATTCACGGAGAATTATTTTGGAGTATATGAAAAATACTAGAGCAAATAACTACCGGAGAGGGGGGGGGGCACCTGGTGAGCACAAGACACCAGGGCGCGCTAGGCCCCCCAGGCGCGCCCTGGTAGGTTGTGCTCAACCCAGCCCACCTCTGGTGCCCATCTTCTAGTATATAGGTCATTTTGACCAAGAAAAAAAGGATATGACTTTCGGGACAGAGCGCCGCCTTCTCGAGGCGGAACTTGGATAGGAGCACTTTTGCCCTCCGGCGGAGCGATTCCGCCGGGGAACTTCACTCCCGGAGGGGGGAATCGAAGCCACCGTCACACTGGTACAGCCACGTCCTAAACAAACGGTTTAAAACCCTTTCCGCAATGGCATTTGGAACCGTCGCCAAGTCAGTGTGGGCGATAGAGGGGTCCTTCCCACACGACCCAGAAATCGTTGGGGATAGGCCCTCGTGGGACCCAGGCTGGGGCCGTGTGCGATCGGGCGAGGCATGGAAACCCAATCATTTCCGTAGGTATGTACATCCCACATGGTGAATCCCAGAAATTATTTCCGTAGGTATGTACATCCCACACGGTGAATCCCAGAAATCATTTCCGTAGGTATGTACATCCCACGCGGTGAATCCCAGAAATCATTTCCGTAGGTATGTACATCCCACACGGCGAATCTCAGAAAATCATTTCCGTAGGTATGCACATCCCACACGGCGAATCTCAGAAAATCATTTCCGTAGGTATGCACATCCCACACGGCGAATCTCAGAAAATCATTTCCGTAGGTATGCACATCCCACACAGTTCTTTGTGTGGAAACGTTTGTGCAAGGTGGCCTAACGCAAACAGTTCGCTGCCGGAAGCCGTGTGTGATTGTTAGTTGATTGAACACGCCTACTTTCTAGAAACTGTGCAGGTTGTTTGAGTTCGTCGCCCACGGTGCTGTCTAAGTAACCGTTTGCAATAGAAAACCCCAATAAGCAGGATAATTAGCCTATTATTGATAATCCATGTACTAATTAAACTGATATTTCTTATAAAACATGCCAGATATTTCATATCCGTATAAAAGCAACCAGGATTTCATAATCGAATACAGATAGCTTCGGCACTCAGTTATGCCATTACACAACAGTACCAAGTTTCACATGCAGCATCAAAAACCTTTGGAAAGTAGCATCATACACGGTAAATAGAAAGATGAATCTCATCTTGAAAACTGCAGAAGCAGAAGGCAAATATTGAGCCTTCAGTGATGTTGAATGTCCTTGCAACTTTAGGCCAGTGGCTATGGATAATTGCCTACCCAACCTTCGTCCTCTTCAGCAAGACTTCAATATTGTACCATGGGTGTTGAATGAATACCTTCCTCGCCTCTTGACCATGCAGGTGGTTTGAGAGGTAATCATTGGTGAACGGCTTTGAAAAGTACTAAAAACAAAACTATGCATACATCGCTGTTGTAAATTTTGAAATAGCGCAAGGGATAAAAACAAGGTAAAAGAGTTGGTACCATCCTATAGTTGACCGATGTCTTCTTCATTGTGCAAACCAAGATCTTGCTGTTATTCGTCGCAAGCTTCTTCATCCTAACAATCTTTCTGAGTTTCTTGACTTGACTGATATTCATGGACATCTCATTTCCCCATATGCAAAATGGGTCGAACAGTGGGTCTAAGCCTCTGACATCAGAACCTACATGTGTAAGACCAAATTTTAAGAAACCTAAATATTAGAATGATTCCTGCAACTGCATAATAATGTGCTATTAGCCAAAGGACCCTGCCTGAACAAACCTCGATGGTAAACCGCAGTGTCTCCCATTGTTTCCCTACAACACACATAAGGAAGATCTTGATCAGGTTAACTGAGAGTTGCCATACTATCAGTAGAATATGTATTGAGTACAACCAAATTCGATTGGTGTCACATGCATAGCAATACAAAATTGTACCCACAACAAATGAAAATCAAATTGCAGAACTGAACCAAACAGTTAAATGGACAGCAGACCAAATGAACCAAAATAGTTAACTGAGCACGACATTGCAGAGTAGAAACATGTATGAGAAGATAAGACAGTTAACAAAACAAAGAATGCTTGAGAACAGTACTACAAAATGTAGCAATTGTTGGACCAAAGTGTTAACTGAACATTACATTTCAGAGGACCAAACTATTAACTGAACATCAGATTGCATATTAACATTACAGAGGACAAATCACTAGAAGGCACTAGCGGTGGCCTCGAGAAAACATCACGAACTGTATTTTAATGTAGACAACTGTGCGGCGGTGTCGATGGTGGCCTCGAAGACGAGGTGCTCCTCCAAGATCTGGCGGTCGACATGCATGTCAGCCATAGCGACCTCGTTCGCGCGTGCGGCCGCATGCTACTCAGCTCCATGTTATACTGCGTGTAAAATGGCTATGGGCGGCGCTTAATTGGAGGAGGGGGCAGTGATTTCGGTGGAAGGTGTCGCTCTGTCAGTCGGGGCATGTGGGACGGGAAAGGAGGAGGTTGGTGTGGGTGGGGTGTGGATTACCTGACCATATCGACGAGGCCGCGCAGCAAGAAGAAGGGTCGGCGGCGAGGAGGCCGCGCATCAATAAGAAGGGTCACCGGCGAGGAGGCGACGCTGCAAGAAGGGTCGCCGGCGAGGAGGCG